CCTCCAAAGCGGCACCATAGAAATCCTGGACGACGATACTCCGCTTGCAGCTTTCGTGCCTTGTACGCATATAGCGCGCAAGTGTCTGCATAATGGTTGAGGCGTTGAATTCATGGCTAGGATTGCATCGATCCATCTACTAATACATGTCTGCTTGCATCGTTCACATATGCCACCGGTGCTGCCAATCAAGGTCCCTAATTCCTCAGCTAGAACGGAAGGCTCTGCGGCAAGTTCCAGCGCCCCTTCGAAATCCAGCTCCCGCGACCCGGATGTTTCCCGGGAAAAGGTGCCTTTGGCTAGCTTTAAAACCTTGCTTTCCATGTTGTCGAAATACTGTGCTGGTGCTAAGATTGTGTTTTCGTGAAAGCATGGGTTCACATTAGCTGCAGGCATACACACCAGAGCCACCGTACGTGGCTGCCGCCTTGCTCAATCATGCCTTGCATGGATCTGCTTCCTCTATCCCCGCTGCAGCCCCACCGCCCAAGGACATTGGGAACGATTTGCGTGAACATGCTCCTGCTCATGTCACTCAAGCCGATCAGCAGAAGCTGGCGGCTCAAAAAAGAGCGGAGGCCGCTGCAAAGGGCAAGGCAAAAGCGAAGGACAACGCGAAGCAGGCGAGATTCATTTGGGGCATCGGTCTTTGAACCAGCCTAGCTATGACTTCTCGTCAGGTGTACGCTCTGAAGAAGAACACCCGGCCGGCTAACGACGGTACCAAGAATGTGCAGTGGGCCGTGATGCGGAGAACGGAGGCCCCTTGGACTTGGCTGGTTCAATCTCTGTCCGTGTTGCATCCGCTGCAGGGTACCAAAGAAAAGCAGCTCTTTCAGACAAAGGACAGAACTTTGCCGGTTCATGCATCTCACGTGCCAATATGCAAGCTTTGCCTGGAACTCCAGGACATGGATATCTCCACGCAAATCATGCAACAGCTGAACGATAAGAAAATCACGGAGGAGGAAGCAGTCTCGAAATCACATGCCTGGAAAGTCTCCGGAGCTCTGCCTTGAAATCCGATGACTGAGCAAGCGGCCCCTGTGCTGGAGCCGGCCTTCCAGATCGGTATATGAACCGGGACGACATCGCAATGGTGTTTCGATACGTTACTTCTGAGCTACGGTCAAAATCGTCCTTTGCTTGCTCCACTGCTCCACTATGTCCGTGCTTACATGTGTTCTGCAGCCAGCGTCTGTGCAGGTCGAGATGCCGAACTTGCCTCCGGCTCCCTGGCTGCTGCGCCATCGGCCCCCGAGTGACCCATTGTTAGTGTGTCGTTTTCAATTCAGTGTTGACAGACGCACACTTCCGCAATGTTCATTATGCTCAATGCAGCTTGTGTGGATATCTGTGCATGGACAATGCCGTATGTGCCCAACGTTGGAAGCCTGTCCCGCTTCTTGGAGAAGCTGGATGTGCTGCAGCTTCGAGAGCTGCACGGGTTGCTCCACCTTGGCATTCCATGGGTCGATCACTTAGCTGCCATCCGTGTGATTCGGATAGATACTTCTGCATTGGAAAGTCGTACTGCCTCAGGTCATCCTTGAAATGACCTTATACCTACTCATCCTGCAAAACATGGAGAATGGGCTCATTCAGGCTCTCGATGGCTGAGTGTCTGTGGATCTTTCTTTCATGTGTGTGCCGATTGCCTTCTGCAGGACCTCCCAGGTTGCTTGCAGTGTGTGGAATTCTTTGCTGGTGTGGCGTCCATAGCTACGGCCTTCTCTGCCCAGGGATACAACGCCAAGGCAATGGACTTCAATCGTTGCCTGTAATTTCAAGACGCATGATCAACTGTGCCACGCAGCTGATCCTCTTGCTGCTGATGTAGTTTGGCCACTCAGGTTCTCAAATGCATGATATGCTCCACCCTCCCGGCATCGTTCTCTGCTTTGCTTCCATCCTGGCTCTGGCGCCAGGAGGTTTGGCGCACTTTGCCACAGTCTGCACCAGCTTTTGCTGGACCAACAGTGGAACGCATCAACGCACTAGTTTCAATCCTTTGGGCGACGAAAGTAAGGAGTATATACGTGAAGGCTCACAACTGGCAGAGATTACATCTGCTTTGATGCTTTTGGCCTGGTGCAAGGGTTGCTGGGTTACGCTGGAAAATCCAAGATGCAGCAAACTAGAGATCTACCCATCCATCCAAGCAGTGGTGCAATTCCTGCTTGACCGAGAAGCTGACGGCTTTGAAGGAACAGCCCTTCTCAGGCATCCCATTTGTTTGGGTGATTTCGGGGCTCCGTCCCAGAAGCCGGTTTGGCTTTATTCTACATACGACCTTATGTCCACCTTCAAGGAGGCGGCTCGAAACGGTTCGCCTCGCAGATCACGCAGTACCGATGACGGTGTAACGATCCGGTGTCCTGGTTGCAAGTGATTTTCTGGATGCGATGAACCATACTTGTTGACCTGCCCCAGAGGTACAAAAACGCGGTTGGACTGGAAAAGGTCCATGGAGGACCTGGCCTCAAAAAGAGTCAAGAATACCCAAAGAGGCAAGTGCTGCAACTCACCTACCTGATTATGCTTGTTGCTCAGTACTGCAACTAACGCCGATTCTGCATCCGCACAGGTTTGGTCAGGTCTTGGCTGGCTGGTGGGTGAGCCATCGTCGTGAAACGAGAAAGCAAGGGACACTCTTCATGTTAACTCCTGTGGTGTCATATCTGCATTGTGCAGTGAATCCCGAACTGCTCTAGGATGAAGCGGCGAATCCAAGCTTGGAAAGCTAGTGGAGATCTATCTCCCCAGCAAATGAAGGCACATCCATCCACGCTTCCAGCGACCCTATCCTTTAGATTGCACGTCTGTGTCTGCAGGACCAGATCCTGGCACATGCGACAGACACAGCGCTGGACTTCGGTTTGGGCGGTGCTTTGCAGTGGTGCCGTTCTGGGCTAAGTGATGGCCTGTGACTGCTGTCGCATGGATTCGAAAAAGGTTTGTGAAAACAACATGGTTCCAGCCGCTCTACTATACGATCACTGCCGCAGCTGCTACCCGTGACTTACCCGTGACTTGAGTAACCGCTGGGACTTATATAACTCTAGCGCTACCGTGACTACCCGTGACTACCCGTGACTTACCCGTGACTTGAATAACCGCTGGGACTTATACAGCTCTAGCGCTACCGTGACTACCCGTGACTACCCGTGACTTACCCGTGACTTGAATAACCGCTGGGACTTATATAACTCTAGCGCTACCGTGACTACCCGTGACTACCCGTGACTTACCCGTGACTTGAAAAACCGCTGGGACTTATATAGCTCTAGCGCTACCGTGACTACCCGTGACTACCCGTGACTTACCCGTGACTTGAATAACCGCTGGGACTTATATATCGCTACCGTGACTACCCGTGACTTACTCGTGACTTGAATAACCGCTGTGACTACTATAACATTACTAGTATTACTACTATACTGCTACTACTACTACTACTACTACTATACTACTACTACTACTACTACTACTCCTACTACTACTACTACTACTACTACTACTACTACTACTACTACTACTACTACTATATACTACTACTACTACTACTACTACTACTACTACTACTACTACTACTACTACTACTACTATACTACTACTACTACTACTATAATACTACTACTACTACACTACTACTACTACTACTACTACTACTACTACTACTACTACTACTACTACTACTACTACTACTACTACTACTACTACTACTACTACTACTACTACTACTACTACTACTACTACTACTACTACTACTACTACTACTACTACTACTACTACTACTACTACTATACTACTACTACTACTACTACTACTACTACTACTACTACTACTACTACTACTACTACTACTACTACTACTACTACTACTAGTACAGGTTTGCCGATCCTCCGGCCCCTAGCGCCAGGGGTGCCGTTCCTCCGGCCCTGCTCTTCTACTAGTACTAGCACTACGAAAACCTACGCAGTGTCACAACCATAACCGGACCATAACCACTATACGTACCGTCCTGGATGCCAGGACTGCATAACCGCTATATTTACCGTCCTGGATGCCAGGACTGCAAAGATCTACTTGCAAAACTGATAAACTATTTATGTGCTGTGTATGCAGAAGCTGAAGCCCCGAAAGCCCAAGCAGTGTTTGCAGAAGCTGAAGCCCCGAAAGCCCAAGCAGTGTTTGCAGAAGCTGAAGCCCCGAAAACCCAAGCAGTGTTTGCACAAGCTGAAGCACCGAAAGCCAAGCAGTGTTTGCAGAAGCTGTAGTAGTAGGTGAAGGTTTGGCTGCTTTGCGCCACCCCTCCGGAGGCAGAGAACGGCCGTTGGCACCTCGCCACGCCACACAAATTCATTAACACCCTTTTCGTACGGCCAGAAGCTGAAGCACCGATTGCAGAAGCTGAATCACCGAAAGCCAGGCGGTGTTCGCAATGCTGCAGCCGGTGGTGCTCGAGATTTTGGATCCCTTGCCTCCAACACCATGAAGAAAGGCTTCTTGCTGCCGAAAAATGATGCGAAGACCGAGAAACCCAAGAAGACGCGGCCACCCGAGAAGACCGAAAAGGATGATGCTCTTCAACAGCCGGCGGTCTCGAGCTCAGCCGCCGCCGAGGTTCCGAAGATCTATACCCAACAAGAGATCAACCACTTCGTGAAGCAGCTGGAGACAATGAGACGTTGGGGAGGGGACGACTTCACCTATGTCACGGAATCGGGAGAAATCTTCGGCAAAGGAGATCTGGAAGAGATTGTTCGTCGCTATGGACGATAGATCGCTCTGTGCACCCGCGGCGGATGAAAATTGAATTTCCTGCCTTGGTTGGCTGCCCCAAGTTGCTCAAATGTATTGCTTTAGGTTGCTGCTCGCTTGGATCTTTGCATTCCGCTTTCTGTTGCTGCGTGTTGGTCAATGTCAGCATGGCAGCATCTTTTGTATTCAAGGTGTTTGGGAAGGGGCTCCCGTAGGCGGCCCTGGAATTCCAGGGCATGGCGAACGACCCCATGCGAGTGAAGCTGGAGCAGCTTGACGCTCTTTCGGGAGAAGCCGAGAACGACCCGGCGAAGTTCGGGCGGCTTCTGAACACCGCTATGAGGGCGGGGGCTGCTGCTGGCGGAGTGGCTGGGCAGGGCTTTTCGGACACCTTCCTGCAGGACCATTCGGGCTCAGGGAACTGGAAGAAAAGCAAACAAACATGCTGCCGCCTATCTAGGACACTCAGCAGACGGAGGCCACGATCGACGCGCAAGAGGAGCAGGACCTGATGAAAGAACTCGAGTCTCAGCTCTACGGCTGCGAGATGGACATCTCCTCCCAGGACTTCAATCCCGCCAAACCCATCCTGTTTCCGATACGCGCCATATCTGTTTCCAGGACGCCCAGCCGACCCAGTACGATCTGCCACCTGCTGACTTGCAGACAGAAGGACATCCATGACTCGCGTTTTGTTGCAGCTTCAGTGTGCACATGTTCTGGTTTGTTTCGATCACAGGTACAAAGGATGGCTTTCATGCCACGTTGGAGCATCTCATGCGTGAGGTCGGGCTCGAGGAACGCGAGGATGATGCGATCAGAAAATCTCCAAAGCGAGAGCTTGAAATTGATTTTGCCAGGGTCGCCAAGGAACTGGAGGATGAAACCATGTTGGCCAAGGAACATGAGGAAGCTGAGAAAGCCAGCAGAATGGCGAAGGAAAGGGAGGAAACTGAGAAAGCAAGGTTGGCCAAGGAAAAGGAAGAAGCTGAGAAAGTAAGCAAAATGATCAAGCAAATGGAGGAAGCTGAGAAAGGCAGGTTGGCCAAGGAAAGGGAGGAAGCCGAGAAAGCCATCAGAATGGCCAAGGAAATGGAGCAAGCCAAGCTGGCCAAGGAAAGGGAGGAAACTGAGAAAGCCAGGATGGCCAAGGAAATGGAGGAAGCCAAACTGGCCAAGGAAAGGGAGGAAGCTGAGAAAGTCAGGATGGCCAAGGAAATGGAGGAAGCCAAGCTGGCCAAGGAAAGGGAGGAAGCTGAGAAAGTCAGGATGGCCAAGGAAATGGAGGAAGCCAAGCTGGCCAAGGAAAGGGAGGAAGCTGAGAAAGCCAGGATGGCCAAGGAAAGGGAGGAAGCCGAGAAAGCCATCAGACTGGCGAAGGAAATGGAGGAAGCCAAGCTGGCCAAGGAAAGGGAGGAAACTGAGAAAGCCAGGATGGCCAAGGAAATGGAGGAAGCCAAGCTGGCCAAGGAAAGGGAGGAAGCGGAGAAAGCCAGGATGGCCAAGGAAAGGGAGGAAGCTGAGAATGCCAGGTTGGCCAAGGAAAGGGAACAGTTCAGGCTGGCAAGATTGGCCAAGGACAAGGAGGAGGCCGAACATATGAGATCGGCCAAGGACAAGGCCAAGGAAAAGGAAGACGCTGATAAAGCCAAGGTGGAGGCCGTGCGACTTGTAAGAAACTAAGAAACCTTAACCCCTAAACCATAAGTATAAACCCCATAACCTAGAACCTCAACATTAAACCCGAAGCCTTAACTCCCTAAATTTTATACAACCCTAAACCCCAAAGCCTAAATCCACAACTGTCAGGTCGACATGGCAACACAGGCAGCAAAAAAATACCAGGCTTTGCCAATGAACGCGACAAAGTTGCAAAAGCTACAGCTCTTGCAGGACATTATGGCTACTGGGGATGAGGGTTGCAAGCAGTTCTGCAAGGATGAGCTTGCAAAACTGATCAAGCCGAAGGCAGCAACGCCAGCTCCGGCCCCTACCAGTGATGCCGATCCTCCGGCCCCTACCACAACGGGTGCCGATCCTCCGGCCCCTACCACCAGGGGTGCCGATCCTCCGGCCGCTACCACCAGGGGTGCCGATCCTCCGGCCCCTACCACCAGGGGTGCCGTTCCTCCGGCCCCTAATGCCCCGACCTTTGATGATGTCAGTGCGAAGATGGGTTGGTCAAGTCCTACAACCCCACGCATGGTGGAGGCACCTGGTACGCCATCTCCTGCAACGCCTGGCAGTGCAATCACAACGCCTGGCAGTGCAAAAACAACGCCTGGCAGTGCAAGCGACGGCTTGGTCCAAGGTTCTGCGCCACTCTACAACCGAAAGAACGCCGCCATGTTCTTGAATCGCCTGAAAGGCAACCCAAAGAGGATGCAAGCCTTGCCTGATGACTTGGCAAAGTTGGTGCGGGACGAAGATTCAAAGAGCAAAGCCATCGACTTGATCGTCGCTGCAGGAGGAGACGAAAATGAGCTGGTCGGGCAGTGGACTGCATCGTCCATTTCTGTGGGGACGGACAAGGAAAAGGGAAAGATGAAACCTTTGACGGAACAGGAATTGATCGGCAAGTACGGTGCGGTCAATGCTGCGAAGGTGATGGAGGAAAAAAGGAAGGCTGGTTTGGAGGTTGATGATCCCAATTGTAAAGGGCTCAAGCTTTACTTGCACAACGAGTGGCAGAGGGAATGGACGAGAGGCACAGAAGAACGTTTCTTGCTTG